CTCGGTTTTAGGACGCATAGTTTTCAGTCTGTTAAGTTCTCCCCCTCATGTGTTCTGTCTTAGAAACCCTGAACCCCCGCCGCCCCGCATTGACATGGGCTGTGATGGTTTTAATCCTTGACTGACTTGGGAAGTACCTGGGCCATTAGGCAAGCGCACTTCGGAGTGTGGCTGTGGAGGTGATCCCAGAGGGCATGAATTAAGGAGGGGGCTTGCTTTGTGTGTGGGCAGCATCACCCAAATGGGGGAAAACTGGATGGAGTTAAAGGAGAAGAACAAACACTACCATTTCCAATGGTACAGAGCATGTCTATGAAACAGTTATTCAAATAGGTCAAATAAGGTCGAAGGTGTTTTGTCTGGGGAGAGGGCTCTCTCTCTCTCTCTCTCTCTCTCTCTCTCTCTCTCTTTCTCTCTCTTCCTGGATCCCATGAGGTGGATAGCTTCTACCATATCTCCTCCCACCCCCATGATGCTCGCCGCTCCTCAAACTCAGTGTAATGCGTTCAGCTGAACTTGATCTGAAACCAATGAAATGGGGAATTAAAACAAGCCTCGTATTCTTCTGAGGTTTTTATGTCAGGAATTCTGTCACAAAGAGAAAAACAAATACGTAGGCATTTCTGATTCACTGTACACTTAGTGTTTACTGACTCTGGGGGTTGGGTGGCCCACTGCCTGGTAACTAGGAAGGCCTGGGTGGTTATACTTCCTTGTTCCCTGACTAGAAACCAGCCCTCCACCTCTGTACCTGTCCATGGGGAGGCGGTGAACCCTACCTCAGAAGTGTGAGATAAGAAGGGATGGAAGCCACTGATTTCACTGTTTAGAGTATACCTGTCCCAGAGTAAGTTCCCACTAAATCTGTAATATTATGCAATATATATATATTGCATATATATAATATTATGCAATATATATATATATATATATATATATATATATATATCTCCCTCGTTCAGTCTGGGGTGTCTCTGTGCCTTCTGGCTTTTTCAACACTGCTGCCCTGGTAGGCTCCATGAACTTTTTCAATAAAGGAAGCGACATGCACTAGCACACTTGGGTACACACACAATGTTTAAATAATTAACCAACGGAAAATTAAGAACAGAGAGTTCTTGGTTGGGGCTGGAGGAAAGCCAACCTCTTTCACAAAGAGGAGGCTGAATGGCTGTGGCAGGGCCCTGAGGGGCAGGGCCAAGGCCAGTCAACCCATGTGACTGCCCAAGGGAGGGGAACACGGATGAATGGGGCAAACCGTGGGTACTTGTTCTGGTGTTCATGCCTCGCTCAGCTGACCTTGGTGAGGGGTGAGGACCCTAGCAGGGGGCCCCAGATAGTCGTGACCGGGCCCATTGGTGTTCTTGTGTGGTGAGGGGATAGTGCAAGATCCAGAAAGCCCCATGAACGGCCGTAAACTAGAAGGCCTCAGCCTGTCTTTCTTTGCTGGCACAGCTTCTGCTGCCCTGGCCAGTTTTAGCCCATGCTTCTGGTATACTGTGCAAGCAGCACTTCATCATCTTTGCTGTCATAGTCGGTCAGCGCGACCTCATTCCTGCTCCCTTGCTGGCCGCCGGGAGAGGCCAAGTGCCCCCTCCGGGAGACAACTGGGGCTTGAAGGCCCTGCCTCAGCGGCTCCTCCTCATGTCGAGATCTCCGAGCAGACACACTTATATTTCAACACTTATATTTGGTCCCATGTCTTTTTTTTTAAAGGTTTATTTTATTTTAAATTATGCATATGTGTGGGGTGTGCACATGTGAGCGCTGGAGCCCTCAGAGTGCAGAGGTGTCCGAGCCCCGGAACTGGAGTTACAGGTGTTTGTGAACAACTCGATACTAAACTCAAGTTCTCTACAAGAACAGTGCTTAACCCCGGATCTACCTCTCCGGTTCCACTCCCTGGGTCTTTACTGGGGACGAGGAGAAACGGGGGAAGGACAGATCCTTTGGATCTTTTATTAGATTGTATATATCATTTCCCATAATGCCCAGAGTCTGTTGCTTCACCCACTCTCTCTTTACAGACTTTTCTTTCAAAACCCAGAGAGGTGGTTTAGCTGATAAAGGTGCCTGCTGCCAAGCCTGGTGATCCGAGGTCAGTCCCTGGGACTCACATGGTGGGAGAGAACCAGCTCCTTTATCTCCACTCATTTACCTGGATACAAACTTAAACACACACACATACATCACAGACACACATACACAGACACACATACACAGACACACACACACACATACACCACAGACACACATACACAGACACACACACGCAAACAGAGACACACACACATACACAGACACACATACACCACAGACACACATACACAGAGACACACACACTCACACGCATACACACAGACAGACAGACACACACCACAGACACACATACACAGACACACACACTCACACTCATACACATAAATAGACAGACACACACACACACACACAGACACATACAGACACACACATGTGTGGTAAAGAAATGCAGAAAAGAATTAAAACTCCTGTTTAGTAGCTAAACTTTTTTTTTTTTTAACTGTTTATACCTTCAGACAAGGTCTCTCTTTTGCTTCTTGGGGCTTCCTCTGAGCCTGTATTTCCTGTTACTGTTGTGTTTGTTTATTCCATCGACAGTTCCTAAGTTACTGGCTGGTTCCACTCCCCAATGGACGCTAAGTTCACACATTTATTATCTTAATATGTTATCTTCTTATCTTAATTGATTGTTTTATCTTCATGACCAACACAGTATCAGATCTCAGGATCTCATTTTTCTCACCTCCAGAATCTTCCTGTCCTTCCTGTGGCTGTCACCTCACTCATCCTACCCCTTACATCTACTTATGGGAAACAGTTCCTTAAGGACTCCCATAGGACAAGCTAAACCTTAGGGTTTCTGCAGCCAGTTTGGCTCGTTAGTTTCAGTAACGCAGCTCCTAGTAACAGGGCGAACAGGAGTTTTGTTCAGTAATGGAACATAGAAGAACAAATCAAAGAAGAGTGGACGGACGGAGAAGGTCAGAATCCCTCTGCCCTAGTTTGGCTTTTATTGATGTGATAAACCGTTGATGACAACCGATGGAGAGGAGAGGGTTTATTTCATCTTAAGAGTTACAGCCTGTGGTGGTTTGAATGAAAATGGCCCCTATGGGCTCATAGGGAGTGGCATAACTAGGAGGCGTGGCCTTGTTGGAGGAAGTGTGTCACAGGGGGTGGGCTTTGAGGTGTTAACTACTCAAGCCAGGCCCAGTGTTCTTTTTTTTTTCTTATTTATTTATTATGTATACAATATTCTGTCTGTGTGTATGCCTGCAGGCCAGAAGAGGGCACCAGACCCCATTACAGAAGGTTGTGAGCCACATGTGATTGCTGGGAATCGAACTCAGGACCTTTGGACGAGCAGGCAATGCTCTTAACCTTTGAGCCATCTCTCCAGCCCCAGGCCCAGTGTTCTGTGCCCCTCCATCCCTCCTGCCATCCCATCTGCATCTAAGATGCAGACCTCTTAGCTATCTCTCCAGCACCATGTCTGCTTGTGTGCCGCATACTTCTTGCCATGGTGATAACAAACTAAACCTCTGAGCTATAAGCCAGCCCCAGTGACATGTTTTCCTTTATAAGAGTTGCTGTGGTCTCTTCACAGTGATAAACCCTAAGACGTAGCCCATTAACAAGGGAAGCCAAGGCAGGAGCCTGAAGCAGAGACTGTGGAGGGATCTACTTCCTCGAGTTTGCTTAGCTACCTGCCTTTTATAACCTAGGATTGCCTGTCACATGCACACACACGCGCATGCATGCACACACGCATACATACACACACACATGTGCATGCACACACACATGTACACCCCTCTACAACAGGAAGTTAGAAATCTGCATGTCTATGAATCCCTGCTGTATCTATTATCCATGACATCTCTTTCATGCTTTACAAGTCTATTAACATATGCACACATGGATGTTAGATGAGTTATAATATTCCTACATATAAATCTGCAGTTAGAGTTCAAAAGAATCTCTGTATTTGAGAACAAGAATCTGGGCTTACCCAATGGTTTTGGGAATTCTATATTTATGGCAGAAAGCAGCATTTTTATTGTCATCTTGGAATAGGTCTTGGTTTCATGAGCCAGGGTAGCATTGGAGTTCTTCTTCATTCAAATTCTCGCTGTAATACTTCCTTCTTCCCAAGGCACTCTATACAGAAACAAGTGTAACAAAGATGCTCCCTGTATTAGTTATTCATGGCCCTGCTCCCAAGCTAAGGATCCAAGAGACCCTGAAATCTCATACAGGCCGATTATTTTGAAGATAAACCTCGGATCTCCCTCGTACCTTTAGAGAACAGTAGTTTGCTGTCTGGAGCCACTTCCAAGACAGGCCTCAGCCTCGGTGAAATGCTATCTGGGGCTGTAGCATTTTACTGGGAGGATGCCCAAGGAAGCTGAAGAATAACCGTGTGTGTGGTTTTCAACAAGATTGCGGGAGCAATGCTAATAAGATTTCTCTGTCTCTCTCTTTTCATTCAGTATTTGGGAAGTCAAGAGGGCCTTTGTCAGTCTTTTTCCATGGCCCTCTTCCCAGGCCGGGGCTGGAGGGGGGTGGTTAATTTGAACTTAGTGAACCTTCGAGAGATAGGGTTGAAAAGTCAGCCGGTAGGTATGCCCACAGTGCCTTGGGACATAGCAGACTAGGCATGTAGGCAGAGGCAATGAGGAACAACTAGCTCGCGTTTCTCCCCAGGACGGCATATACGGAGTCATTTCTGAGGAGAGATGACAAGAAGAACGTTCTGTTACTTGGAGAGACAGCTGTTGTAGATTCAAGACTCTGAGCCAGTTTCAAACAAAGACGTTGCTCCCCTCCCACTCGCCGGCCAAGAGTGGACTCTTCTTCCTGGTCTAGTCCCGCAGCCCCTCAGAACTCACTTCTGGGCTTTCTCTGTCTCGGGTGCTGTGCCAAGCACTTTTTGTCTTTGCTCATTTGGTCCCCACCAACGTGATGGCTACGGTAATCTGCAGGGTTCAGCATTCTGCCTAAGATCGTACAGGACTGAAAGGAAGGAACCGGGATCCCAGAGCAGGCGTTGACTCCGGAGACTTCAGTAGGTGGCAGGGATGGCGTGACGGGCTGGGGACGGATAGGTCCGATGTGCCTAACAAGAGTGAAGGCTTGACCCTTAGAGGGTACTGGGTGAGCGGTACAGGCCCTGCTTCTAGGTCTGAGACCACCCTTGAGGAAGAACAGCACACACGTGGGTCACTTCACTGTACAGATTTTTCTTCAGTGACTTGTCTGCCCATAGTCTTTGTCATTTTTTCTACCAGGGTTTTACTCTCTGTCTCGAACATTTGTTACTTGTCTAGTCCTCAAAATAAAGGAGATGGTTTTGGTCTGTATGGCTTATTTCTTTTGCAAATCTTAAAAATACTTATGTATTTTATGAGCGTGCACACGTGCTTATGCCAAGGTGCAGGTGTGGAGGTCAAAGGGACAAAATGTGAGACCAATCCCTCCTTAATAAAGCTGGACCTGCAGCCATCACTGCTTCTCCTCACGACTAGTGGGCCTGGAGCTCACCACGTAGACCAGGTTGGCCTCTAAGTCACAGACATCTGCTCGTCTCTGGCTCCAGAGTGCCGGGGTTAAAGGTGTATGCCACTGCGGTCAGCTTCTGATTTGTTTGTTTGAGACAGGGTCTCTATACAAAGCCCTGGCTGTCCTAGAACTCACTATGTAGAGAAGGCTGCTGCTGCTGGTGATGGTTTTTTTACTCTTCTGCTTTTTGGATGGCCTGCCACCCAGTTCCCAAATAAACAATACACACGGAGCCTCATTATTTCTTATGTATGCCTCATCTTGGCTTATTTCTAACCAGCTTTTCTTAAATTATCCCGTCTATCTTTTGCCTCTGGGCTTTTATGTGTCTCTATTCTGTATACCTTTCTTTCCTTCTTGCTCCATGGCTTGCTGTGTTGCTGGGTGACTGGCCTCTCATGTCCTCTTCTCCTTCTTTTCTTGCTTCTCTTTCTCTCCTCCCAGATTTCTCCTTCTATTTCTTCTCTCTGCCTGGATGACCCCGCCCCCCATCCTTTCTCCCGCCTCGCTATTGGCCACTCAGCTCTTTATTAGACCATCAGGTGTTTTAGACAGGGAAAGAATCACAGCTTCACAGAGGTAAACAAATGTAACAGAGGAGAATGCAATACATCTTTGCATCATTAAAACAAATGTTCCATAGCATAAACAAATGTAATTCATCTCAAAATAATATTCTACAGCACTCAGAAATCTGCCTGCCTCTATCTCTGGAGTGGTGGTATTAAAGGTGACTGCCACCATACACAACCCTGAGTTTTTTTCAAGACAGTGTTTTTGTGTATGACTTGGGGACTCTTGTAAAGAAATAAAGACCCAAAGAAATAGTTGACTGCTCATTACTGTCCATTATAATAATGAAATTTATGATACAATATACCATAATCTCAAATGTTAAAATCCTGAAAGATCAAATTCTGTAAAAAATCTAGAGTCCTCCCAATCAAATCACAATCATAAAAGATTAAAATCCCAAATGTTGAAACTGTAAAAGCCCAAATTCTGAAAACCCCAGCTTTTTTGTGCATGTGTCTGTCTGTTCTCTCTGTCTCGCTGTGTATTTCTCTGTGTGTATGCAGTGTGTACATGTCTCTGTGTGTGTTTATGTGTGTGTCTCTCTGTGTGTATGCAGTGTGTACATGTCTCTGTGTGTGTTTATGTGTGTGTCTCTCTGTGTGTATGCAGTGTGTACATGTCTCTGTGTGTGTTTATGTGTGTGTCTCTCTGTGTGTATGCAGTGTGTCATCTCTGTCTCTTCCTTCTTCCCCTCCTTTCTCCATCCCCCCACTCTTTCTTTTTGGCTATTCAAGACAGGATTTCTCTCTGTACCCTGGCTATCCTGAAACTCACTCTGTAGACCAGGTTGGACTCAAACTTAGAGATCTGCCTACCTCTGCCTCCTGAGTGCTGGGATTAAAGGTGTGCACAATGACTACCCAGATTTTTTTTTTTTAAAGACAGGGACTCTCAATATAGTCCTGGCTGTCCTGGAACTCACTTCATAGACCAGGCTGGCCTTGAATTCACAGAGATCCACGTGTCTCTGCCTCCCAAGTGCTGGGATTAAAGGCATGTGTCACCAATATCCGGCCTTTGTCTCTCTTTCTGTGTCTGTGTCTCTGTGTCTGTCTGTCTGTCTGTCTGTCTGTCTGTCTCTCTGTGCCTATCTCTGTGTGTAGAGGCTGTATAAAGAGAAGAAAACCAAATTCCGGAGAAGGATTAACTACACCTTTCAACAATAATAAAAACGTTTAGTTCAAAATGTCACTTGTCTATGTCCCTAGTTGGTAAAAAACCCTAGGAGCTGTTAATGCATTCAGCTTGAATGAACTGTTTAGAAGGCAGTGCGAACACTGGCAGATGTCAAGGCTTGCAGTGGCCGAGGGAACAGACAGCAGAGCTGCTCTTCCACAGCTGTGTGGTTTGCATCAAATCTGTGGTTTTACGTGTGTGCATCTTGAAGAAGGTTCTATACACAGACAAGATGGGAGACCCACAATTATCAGATCGTAGAAGAACTTCATGAGTGGAAATGAATGCCAACGTAGTCTCTCCAGACACCAATCCCCTAAAACAAAAGAGCAACTATCTTGACTTTAAGTTTAAAATATCTTTGAGATTATGAGTTTGGTCAGCTCTCAATAGATTCCCTCTATGTGATCTATAATCTAGCACTAAAAGTACACTTTTGTATTTTTAAAAATCATTATTGGTTTTATTTTTTCAAAAGATTACATTTCTTTGGCCCTCTCTGGCTCCCCTCGCCCATTTTTTCCATTTCCACGATTTTGTTAGCTGTTTAAAAAGTGTTTTTCCATACTACACGTCTCGTCCTTGTGTTATTTCCTATGCTTAAAGTTACTTTGAGGTGTGAAGGCTAGGAGAGAATTGTAATTCTTGTTATACATTTTGCAAATTTGACTTCAGGCAAGTGAATTATCACAGCGTGTTGACTCTGTGTGAAAGCATTATGCAGAAATAATTGATGAAAAATGTTGAAATATCCTAAAAAAAAAACAAATCCAAATCCAGAACGATGTCCTTTTTCTACATTTGTGGAAGACAAAATTTCTCAAGGTCTCAGCTCTCTGGTAAATTGTGATTCTAATGGTGTCTTTTGATGATGTATTCAAAATGCTTAGGCTGTCTGTTACCGTATCTCAAGTGACTACAGGCACAAAGTTGGATGCACACAATACCCAACATAGTGGTGTGTGTGTGTATCCAGCCTCGTGACACACACACACACAATACCCAGCATAGTGGTGTGTGTATATCCAGCCTCTTGACACACATGCTACTCTGTGAATATGGTTCACCTTCTCAGAGCTCACCCAACTGTTGTTATTATATCTCAGTGTTCGTGGTTGCTAAGATACGTGTTATTATTGTTGCCTATTTTATTACAGAAAACAGCCTATGAAGTGTTCTGTTATAGTTTTGTTTCCCAAACAAATTCCTTTTTAAAATGCAGAGCTCTGGACTAGAGCAATGGCTCAGTGGTTAAGAGCATTTGCTGTTCTTCTAGAGGATGAGTTTGCCTCTCAGCACCCGTGTTACAACCATCTATCACTCCAGCTCCAGGGGATCTAATGTCCAGGGGCCTCCAAGGGAACCTGTACTCATACACATACTCACATGCAGGCACACACACCTGTACATAGTTAAAAATAATGCAACTAATAAAATCTTTAAAATAAAATAAAATGTAGGGCTGGGTATGTAGCCTAGTGGTAGACAGTATGGTTAGCCTGAGCGAGGGCCTGGATTTCAATCTAAACACCACAAAAACTAAGATAAAATTGTAAAAGATATTTTGACTTTTTATTTTTTTAAAAAATTATTTATTTATTACACATACAATGTTCCTTCTGCATATATACCTCTATGCCAGAAGAGGGCACCAGATCTCATTACAGATAGTTGTGAGCCACCATGTGGTTGCTGGGAATTGAATTCATGACCTTTGGAAGAGCAACCAGTGCTCTTAACCTCTGAACCATCTCTCCAGCCTCTGTAAAAGATATTTTTTAAAAAATTAATTCTAATATTAAAATTTAAATTAAAAATGTAATTAAAATTTTTAATTAAAAATATTATGCTTGTTTATGTGCATGGGCACGCACAGTTCATGACAAAAAGGAGTGGTGGCCAGGAGCCCACTTTGCAGAGTCTGTTTCCTCCACCTTTGTGTCCCAAGGATGGAATTCGGGTCACCAGCCTAGGCTTAGCACTTTCAGCCACTGAGCCAGCTCACCAAGCCCAAGTGACGGTTTAAAGGTCCATGAGCCTGGGGAAGAGGACACCAATAGATTAGCCAATACCAAATGGCCAGCCCTGAAGACATACATGCATACATACGGTTCTATGGACAGAGAAGGCTGTATTCATATGCTTAGGAATATGTAACAACAATTAAAGAAACGAAGGCCATGAATTTGAAAGAAAATGGGGGGGGGTTATATGGGAAGGATTGGAGGGAAAAAAGGCAAGGGGAAAATGGTGTAATTATATTATAAGATAAAATTTAAAAATTATTAAAAACAAAACAAAGAGCCCTTGTTGCCCAATGGTAGAAGGCTTACCTAGTATATATAAAGTTGAGTTCAATCTTTAAAATTGAAAAATACAAAACAAAAATTATTTTATTTCTTTTTTCCCCCTAGAAATTTAGTTTTGGGATTTTTTTTTTTGACTGTTCAGGATCTTGGAATTGAAAACTTTTGTTCTTTTGCATTTTCTTCTTCTTCTTCTTTTTTTTTTGGAGACAAGTTTTCTCTGTTATGTAACTCTGGCAGAACTTGAACTCATTACATAGACCAGGCTGACCTTGAACTCACAGAGACCCACCTGCCTCTGGAGATCTGGGATTAGAGGAATGTGCCACCATGCCCAGCTTGCTTATAATTTCGGCCTTTGACATTGCTGTTTTGGGGACAGTGTCTTTGTGGATTGTGGCCTGAGCCATAATTTCTACACTGTATTGATAAAGAATAATTAGTTAAGGCAGCAACTACACCGTGTGCAGAGGCTGGAAAGATCAGCTCGCCTGGCCAAGGTTGCAGAATTCTTTTGCTTTTGACTTCTCATCTTTGCGGGTGAGGATGGGCCATCACCCCAGCTTGGGAGAGCTTTGATAGGAGAGTCTCACCTTTTGCTCCCAATAAAAAGCACACAAAGTTCAAAGTGACCTTTTGGTACCTGCTGTTCTTTGAATATCATTGGCTCATAGGGTCAAAATGCCAGAAGAGAATATTTTAATCTCTTTGGGAGAGAGAGAAGAAAAGGAGAGCGGGAGGGAGGAAAGAAGAGAGAGAGAGAGAGAGAGAGAGAGAGAGAGAGAGAGAGAGGATGGATAAGGATTAAGTAGTAGTCTGATTTGGCAGATCCAGAAAGGAAGACAAGCAGACATGATGAGATTTAATATTGTTAAAAATAAGATAATACCCCTGAGCAGAAGTGATGACGTGAAAACACAGAAGGGAAGAATGCTATTTAGAAGCCGCAGTGCAGGGAAGAGCAAGGGAGCAACGATACTTACTTTCTCCCTGAAGCTCTGAGCCTCTCCCATGGCTGCCACAAAGAAGGCTGCTATTGTCTGGGACTGTGTACAGAAAGGGTCCCTTGGAAAGTAGAAATGGCAGGGTCTGTACCTGGCAGTGATGTTTGCTCTGAAATGCTACTGCCTCCTTGCAGAAAGGAGGGCTGTAAAAAGGACGTAAAAAACAGTGCTGAACATCGCAAACAGAATATCCGGAATGCTGCTTCGGTGACTGGTTAGAGCGGCAACCACTCAATGGGGCTCGTTTTTCTACATCAGGGTTTAAAGTTGACCCTGGTTTGATACGGTTTACGCTGATGTATAGGGGCCACCCTCTATCTAAAGGGAGATGTTCTAAGACCGTCAGTGCATATATGAAATCACAGCAATACCAAGCCATAAATCCATAGTTTCCTATAATACTTACCCATGATAAAGTCAAATGTATATACTAGTCTCAATGAGAGATTAGCCACAATGATATATACTGTATAGTGTGGGTAAAGTTATGTGATATACTGTAGTAAAGATCTGATAGTGAACTTACATGTGGCTCTCACAATACCTGATTGTTCACCCTTCTTATGGTGGCAAGAGAGGATAAAATGCTATGTGATGAGATGAAGGGAAACGACTCACAAAGACTTGAGTAGGAAATACCTGAACGTTATCCCTGGGACACCGAAACAGTCTGCTGAGTGACAGCCGGAAAGTGATTAAGGAGGGGTAGCATATACAGTGCGGATCTTTACATCTGCTGGCCTCCATTCACTTCACAATTCCTGTTTGTACTTCAGGGAGTGCTCTTCTTCCAGGTCAGGGGTGTGACGAGAGACCCAGGCCAATCAGAGTACCAGATCTCCACACACAGTGATTGTTTGGGAAGATGGCTCACTGTGCTCAGAATATGTCCTGGGCCTTGTTTAGGACTTGAGTCTGAGGGTCTGGTTGCTGGAGCCACAGGCTGCCATGAGTGGGGTTATTTCTTTAAAAAGAGGCCAGAGGACGGAAGGTGTGGAAACCAGCTCTGATGGTATTGTTTAAACCACAGTACAGCCATATTGCTAAAGCCAGCCATATCCACTTTTGTATTTTGTTCAGTTTGAATGTGTGAGAAACCTCCCACCTTTTGTTCAAAGCAGCTTGAATGAGTTTTCTGTCTCTTGTCACTGCAAAACTATGACGTCGTGTGACAAAGCAGCTTATGGTAATGGGAAGACTCACGTAAGGGCCACATGTTTGAGAAGAACACAAAGTAATTAAATTTTAATTTAGATTAGAAGAAGCTATTATGGAGTGTGTCCTGGGGAGGTGGCATCACCTAATAATTTGTATTATCTGTTGACCATTGACTTTGGGATTTCTATTCATCATTTCTTACCTTTTTTGGTGCACATGGTAAATATCTACATTTAAAATTGAGGAGGTTAAAAGAGAAGTAAAGATGCGGAGGTTGACGCACAGAAAGATCAAGGCCCTTGTCTAGGGTCTTATCGCAGGTAGGACCCGCATTGAGACATCTCCTCTCTATATCACCAACTCACTTGGGCATCTCCAAGATCCCATTTCATGAGCCTTCTCAGCTCCTCATTTCTTCCACTGCAGACCACAGTGTGCTCAGATTGCAATCTGCCAGCTTCCTCCTGCCCAGAAACTGACATGGAAGCTCCCGAGCCGTTCTGCATCAACGTTGACTTTTTGCTTCTTGAAACCGGCTTAATCTTCTTGGTGAGTGAATGAAAACTTGGCTCGCATTCCTTCAGGGAGCCCTCAAGTTCTCCTCGGCCTTCCTTGGAGCCAGTTGAGACTCCCCGAGGTCACTGTTCAGGTCTGGGAAAGCATTGCTCCAAAAGGCTCAGTCTTGATTTGTTTCTCCAAACGCCCTGCTCTGCCTTGCAATGGGACACTAGCTCACGCACACTCGGTCGCTACTGGGTGTTATTTTCTTTTCTCCTGCTCCTACCCCTTGGCCAGTTTATTCCATCTCCCTGCTCCCCTCCCCCATTTTCAGGCTGTCTTCATTGGCTTCTGGATGGCAGCCTACGGGGTTACAGGAACTGGGGCATGATTCAGTACATGGGGGATGCTTCAGGCAGGCAACGTTGGGAACTATGCAGGCCCACCCAAGTCCTTTTGATTCTTCATGGTCTTCCTTCCTTCCTTCCTTCCTTCCTTTCTTCCTTTCCTTCCTTCTTTCTTTCCTTCTTTCTTTTTCTTCTTCTTCTCCTCCTTCTGTTGTTTTATTTTGTTTTTCGAGACAGTGTTTCTCTGTATGGCACTTGTTGTCCTGGAACCCTCTCTATAGACCAGGATGGCTTTGAATTTCCACCCAGAGTGTTGGGATTAAGGGTGCACACCTTAATCCTGGGGAATGATTGGGATGTTGTGATCACTGAGTTAAAAACATGTGCCAAATAACATGCTAAATTTACAATATTGCTTAAATCCTTCCACAAATGGTTCATTTAATGAGACCCATGAACGGCCTGATCCTTTTGTATTTAGCAAAACAGACCACTAACACGTAAACCTTAATGCCAGGGATTCTGGGGCTTCCAGATTATTTGCATTAACATTGCTCTTGTTTTCTCCACAAGTCACCCACCCTCCAAAAAAGGATTCCCCGCAAGAGAGGAGGGTCTTGGAGGGAGGAATCCTGGAGACTCTGAGGACTTTTATAGCTTTTCTCCTGTCGGCTATCAACTGAATTTTATTGGCATTCTGAGTGAGAAAGAACATTCTGGGCTGTGAAGGGCTGACTGGCACTCTGTCAGGCATTAGCATTCCAGTGTGCCACCCAATAAATGCTGGTTTGGTACCAGCCAAGTGCAAACAGCAAACGCACTCCAACATTTTCAAACCCTCCTCGGAGGGCGGTTACTGTTCCTGGTTGGAAACTTCTAATTATGCTAAGGGAACAGGGAGTGTCTGGGGGCAGGGTGTGTGTCGGGAGGAGGGGGGGGGCGCGGGTTGTAGACACATGCTCTCTCCTCCATAGCAATGCTGGGCTCCTGAGTTGTGAGCTACAAGCTTCTAGTAAAATGCTGAGGCTAAAGAAAAACTCCATAAACATTTCCTAATTAACTGTCATGTCTCGCTCACCGAAGCTAGAGATTTTATATCCTCTACCTTGTGAAAAGCCGGAGGTGTGCATAATCCAAAACCGTGATACCGCTACACACTCAAAAAGCATTCATCGCTGTTGACGAAAGGGCAAACTACTTCCCGTCAGATCCAAACAACCAACAACGGCTACAGCTACATCCTCTTGGCTCTTTGCCTCTGTTGCCTTTGGAGAGACGGATTCATTCAATGTTGGGGTTAATTACTTGTCCTACCATCTCAGGCGCTGGGGTCTGTTCAGGTCGCTGAGCAGCTGTGGGGGCGGCTGAGAAGTTCCCTTGGGCTTCTGCTAGGGACTCGGGCTACTGGCAGCACAGTTAGATTTTTAAGGAATGGAAAACTTCATGAATAAGCTGAGGAACAAGGGCAGGTCAGGCCAGGCCCCAGAATCGGGCACCCAGAGTTAGGGAGGGGACGCGGCAAGAGGTGGAATGATTCTGAGCTAGCAACGAGGTCGGGGACAGTGTGGCATGTCCCTCTTCAGGATCCTTTTCAAGGTCCTTGAAGTTCTTGTTACTCCTGAAAATGTGGACAACGTAGGACCCAGGCTTGACAAGCTGAATAGAGGCCTGAGTCTTAATAGTTTACCCTGGCTCCGAGAAAGACAAACTGAGATTACCCAGGCACCACCCAGGAACAGACAACATACAAAGGAAATTCCTAATGTTCCAACCATTGTAGATAGGATCACCTGCCAGCACACACCCATCGCTTTTCACCAGGACACCCCTAGACAAATGTCAGTCAGTCAGGTGTCCTGAACCTTGGAAATCGCTCACCCCCACCTTTGCTACTACAAAAACCCAACCCCAACTGAGCTCGGGGCTCGTTGACCACTCCTGTTTGTTCCCCGCCAGTGTGAATGGTGATTGATCCCCCTTTTTAATTAGCCAGGGGTGTTAGATCACAAATTGCAAGCTGTATTTTCTTCTTCCTTCCCAGGTACACAGGATTTGGATCAATAAATTTTGGAGAGCAGGATTTGGATCAATACATTTTGGCAGTGCCTCTTTTGAGGAGTGACGACAGACCCAAGAGGAAGTCTCCAGACCGATTTTAATGACTTTGCTGGAGGCCACTTTTAGGGACCTATCAAAGGCAGCCACGGACCCGTGAAAGGCCACACTATTTTGGGTGATGCCCCTGGGCACCTTAGTATGCGAGCGTGTGCAACAGGCCAGTTCTTGCAGAGAGATGTGTCAAGGCCAGTGTGACACCATACAGGTGGGACACAGGGGGGCCCACTGCAGAGGGCTGTCTCTCTCCTCTTACCCCTGAAGTCAGAAAGAGGTCCTCTGAGTTTATTCTGAATATCATCCAAGAGTGTGCCAAGAAACCAGCAGGTTTGCTTGAGTACTTGTAGGAAAAAGAGACGGCATACTCTCTAGTCAGAATATCTGCCTGGATCACAGGCATTATTCAATCTACACTAGGCAAGCATAGGGATTAGTACCAGAGATACTGGGCACACAGCACGGCTTACATCTGGCATTGTGGAGTGAGGTGGCGTTGCTGTGAGGGGCCGCAGAGGCACACATGGGAAGGAGAAGCCATTAGAAAGTGTCCTGACCTCTACAGAGTCTTTAGAAATCTTGAACAGCACTGTAGCCTGGTTGGGGACACAAGCTTCTTATCCCTCCCTAGGTCATTGGATCCTTCTGACTGCTGGCAGGATGGAGAGAAGCAGATCCCTTGGGCATGCTTGTTGTTACGGTAAAAATAAAATGGTGCTGTTCTCCGAGTGGCTGTGGCAGGTCCCAACACCACGGAGGGCCATGAAGGCAGCCAGTCCCAGGCAGAGAGCCCCTAGCCCCCTGCCGCTCCCCCCCCCCACCGCCGTGACTCATGAGCTGCAAGGGCCAGTGGATCCTATGCAGGGAGCCATATGACTGGTGAGAGACCTAGATGGATAGGCATGCCATGCAGAGTGAGGTTGGATATTTATTTAGTGGGTGATGGAAGGGAAGGGGAGAGGGAGGGAGAAGAGGGATGAGGGGAGAGAGAGAGAGAGAGAGAGAGAGAGAGAGAGAGAGAGAGAGAAGGTGGGAGAGGAGAGGAGCCACGGCAGCAGCTACCTCTTTGGAAGAGAGACAGAAAGGGAGAGAGCTCAGGCTGGAAGAAGAAGGAAGATCTGCCTGCCTCAGAGGTGGATGGCGGAAGTGGACTCGCTTGTCTCTTAAAGGGACAGGACAGACCATTACACTTATCCTTTAGCCAATTGGTTAGCTCCATTCGTGTGGTAAGGCAATACTGAGTATTGAACCCAGGGCATCAGGTATTACAGACTATTAAGTTGGGAGTGTGGCCCCCAGCCCCTTGCATCCATCCCAGCCCCCAGGCCTGGGAGTTGTATTGGTCTGGACTCCAAATCCCAGCATGCCAGGTCCTGACCCCTCCCTGGGGTAGGTGTCAGGATCACTCCCACAGGGTATTTAAATGAGCTCCCAGAGAAGAAACACGGTCTCTTTCTTCCACCCACCCTGTCCCATTAAACCTGGATATTTCTTAATTTGGCTTGTTGTGATTTGGCTTGACTGGGATTTTTGCATTGGCAAAGAGCTCGTGTTAGGAAAAATTCCTAACACAAGCAAGCATTTGTTATTGATCTACACCCTGTCCCTAGATCACTGAACTCTGCGTGTGGTAATGGAGTTGACCTGGCCAGGGACTGTGTTAAAAGGGAATTGAAACAAGTATGGATAGCAAAACAAAATAAAAACGACTTCAATATTATAACTTAAGAGTTTACCCTTTCCCCCCCCATTCGTCCCAACCCCTAAAATAAGTACAGGGGCTGTTTTTACTCACGGCTGAATCCTTAGTGTCTACCAAGTGTGATCTTGCAGGCCTGAGCATGACAAACGTGGCTCTGGCAGGTCTTGCCCTCCCCCATCCCCTTTTCCTTGTTAAACCTTTAGATTACATTTTTAAAGCTAGCTACCAAGGTCTACTCCCTTATTTGGCCATTTCCTCCTCCTGAGGCTGATCACCAAGGTCCAGCTCTCAAAGTATTGAAGTTCAGCCATCAAAAGCCCCCTTTGGCTCAGCTAATTAACATGCCCAATCAAAACAAACCAATTCATCCTAACATGGAGTGTCCCCTTTCCCTTTATAAACTGTCTTTGCCTGTCGGCCACATCTGCACCTCTCTATCCAGAGGCAGCCCTTGCCCCTCTCCCTTGTTCCTTTCCTCTTCTCTCTTATCCTCCATCTCCTGTCTTTGTTTGTTATCCATGCCCTTTGTCCCTCTGGGACAAACCTTTGTGCTGAGACCTGGGTCTTGGTGTGTCCTGTGCTGACTCTGGTCCTCCAGTACCTAACACTAAATTGTAAATATTTAAGGATAGCTCATGTGTTGGCTATAGGATGAGTTTGGAAGGGCAGAGGCAGAGCTGTTTAGGTTCAAGACCAACCTGGTGTATAGTGTTACTAGTGACATAGTAAGACTTTGTCACACCAAACAAAACAAAACAGAAAAATGGGCACAATTGGGCATCCTTAGAATCCTAGTGTTTAGGAGCGCAGAGCCTCAAGATGCCAGCTTGACTCACACAGTCAAGCTGTGTGGCCAGCTGTAGGCCAGTGAGGACCACAGAGTGATATCCTGTCTCAAAAAGCCAAACCAAACAAGACAGCAACAAGATAGAAACCATTGATGATTAGCTGAGTGATTGGCTGACTCGAAGAACAATACTTTGAACCTCCTGAACATGCACATTTGCCTTTAAAAGGGTAGGCATTTCATGTGGCATTGGGTGTCCAGAGCCTGTTTTCCTGATGTATCATATGGGGTTCTTTAGAACAGCAACAACACCATCTCAACATTATTTATTATCCCTGGGTGTGCGCAGGTGTGCGTTTGTGCCACGGAATGCATTTGGAAGCCAGAGGACAAGTTGCCCGAGTCAGTTCTCTCCTCTTGTATAAATTTGGGGTGTGCTGGGGTGTCGGACTCAAGCCGCGAGGCTCATGGGTCAAGCGCTATTAGCTGCGAGCTTTCCTGATCTGCTTATGGGATTCCCTCCAGCTTCATTCAAGCTACTTCTGTGTGGTGGCGGAATGCGGAAGATTCCAAGAAACTTTCGACAAGGCAGAATGACTTCCTGTTGGCTTTCCATGGTGATTTGTGTCAGCCGTTTCCCTGGGGAGCAGACTATGCCTCTCGGTCTTTGTCTCCATTCTGCTGGTGAAGTACCTGGCAACTGAGTACTGTCGAATGGGGGTTTCTAGATCATGGTCCACAGATCCTTCTCTCCCAATGAAGGTTTTTGAGGCTTTCTCCTCAGATTTGTTAAAAGCATGAATGAATGCCAAGTGCGGTGGCTTAAGTCCGTAATCCCAGCACTCGGGAGGCAAAGGCAATGGGATTGAGTTATATAGCAACTTGAGCTAAGGCGTGAGAGCTCTGGAGAAGGGGTGGGGGAAAACTGGTAAAGCACAGAATACTTTCAATCAATTGTCTTTTAAGTGACCTTCTGACTTATTTTAAATCCTTAATGAGTGCATGTTTATGCCTCCAGGAATCATGGCCACACCGTTGCCAGGTTTGAAATACATTGTAATACATTTCCAAATGACTTATCTGTAGGAGCATTTACTGGAGCCCCCACCTGAGCTAGTTTTCTGTTGTTCACAATACACGAGCAGGCTGGGACTAGCAGAGATGTGTTTGTTAGGGGCGGAGGAACTTGCCAGGAAGTCTCCATGCTTGGGTGGAGACTGGAGACCAGGCATGGCAACTGGGCGGAGCTGTGCAGTCCCCAGAGAAAGAAGAAGCTGGGTTCAAAGATTCTGGGTGTCGGGAAGTGTGGTGGAGGCTTTTACTCCAGCCTGTGTCCTACCCAGTCTCTTCATGTATGTTTTCAAAGACAGAAAAAAGATTCAGAGTAAAAAAAAAAAAATCCAAAGTCTGTATTGTAATACTTGTGATGAAATACTTGGGCTGAAGCCATAATACAAAATATGCTTCCCTTTGGCAGAGTTTATTGCTCCGTTTGGAACCATGAGAACTCAGGTGATATCACTTGTAAGAAGCAATTGTATCCTGAGCACCAGTAAGAGGAGGCACAGTCCCTGGTGGTACAGCAGCAGCCCCAGCATTGGTCCTGTATGAGCTGGCAGGGCATAGACAAACACCCCTGAGCATGCCCAGGGCTTCTTACATGGCAACACAGAGTGGTGGTGCTCCAGCCTCAGCAGGTAGAAGCTGAAACCTTTGACAAGAGAGGCATTCCTCATAGGATGACTGTCTCTCCCCATAGGGGAGACTTAGAAAACAACTAGGTTTCCAAATGAGAAAAGGGAAAGGAAGAAAGAAGGGCGGGAGAGAGGAGGGAGAGAGAGGAGAGAAAGAGGGAGGGGGAGAGGGAGAGAAGGGTTGGTCAGTTGGCCAGTGGCTAATATCTGCCTTAGTAAATTATATACCAATTAATAATGGTATTATTTTTTGTCATTAAAAAAGTAGAACTTTTTATAAACTCACAAAATGTATTTACAATGTTTTAAAGAGGCCTTCAATTTTAGGTAAGTATGTGTGTGTGTTAAGTACACCTGCTTTGGAGGCCAGAGGCATGCTCTCACGCCTCCAGCTGGAGTTACACCTGGTTGTGACCCTATGTGGGTCCTGGGAAAGGAACTAAGCAAAGGGCTCTTAAGTTCTGAGTCCCTACAATGTAGCTTTAGAACAGTTAGATAACTATGTCGTGGAATATTAACTGTGTAAATTTGTTACATTCGTTTCTGCTGCCTTTGTTAACTATGTAAAGATTGTTACATTTGTTTTTGCTGCCTTTGTTAACCATGTGAAGATTGTTACATTTGTTTCTGCTATCTTGCTAATCATGTAAAGATTGTTACATTTGTTTCTTCTACCTTTGTTAACCATGTAAAGATGTGCTACATTTATTTATGCTGTATTTGCTTAATTATGTAAAGATGTGTTGTATCTGTTTTACCTTGCCTGCCTAAGGCACCTGATTGTTCTACTAAATAGCTGAACAGCCAACAGCTAGGCAGGAGAAAGGATAGGTGGGGCTGGCAGGCAGAGAGAGTAAGTAGGAGGAGAGATCTAGGCTTCAGAAGAATGAGAGGAAGAAGAATGAGGAGAAGAAGAAGAGAGGAGACTCGGGGATGAGCCAGGCAGCTGCCAACCAACAGACAGAATAGGACTTACAGAAAGAAAGGTAAAAAGCCTCAAGGCAAAATGTAGATGAAGAGAAATAGGTTAATTTAAGTTAAAGACAAAAAGCTAGCCAGAAATGAGTATAAGCTAAGGCCAAGCATTCAGAACTAATAAGAGGTCTAGGGTTAGGGGGTCTTTGTATTTGGGAGCTGGCTGGTGGCCCAAAAGAAAGCTTGCTACAGAACTAGGCTTGGCCCCTTCATATACTCATCCACATTGTGTGTCCAAGTCTGGCTAACTTCAGTACTAGCTTCCTTTAGTACTATGTCTGTTACTTAGTCCCTAGACAAATCTGTGAAGCCCGGGATGGAGTGAGTGTGGAATGGGAATGGAGAATTCCAATTCCAGATGAGAAGAAGCCTCATGGGAAGTGGAATAGAGAATTAAGAACCTTCTCTAAGAACTCAGGCCTCCTGGGAGCCTTCTACGCACCACGTACATTTAATATTTAATCTTATTTACCAAGTGCAAATTAAATGCCTGGTACATACTGGACAGCTCATAACCTATCTCATTTGGTCTTCCAAATGCTCTCATCTAAGAACAAAGCAACGGAAGTCCAAACTGCAAAAACCACCCAGACAGTACCAGAGCCAGGGATACTCATCACCACAGCCCATAGAATTGGCCACAAAGGTCACAGAGGGTCCCAACCTGGCAGACTGGGGTGCGACCCAGCAGAGAAGGGAGGAAGCAGCTGAATGACTGGTGTGGGTGGAGGTGAGACGGGTGACATTGATGGAAGTCACTAGGTGGCAAAGAGGGAGTGGAAAGGGGGGTGATTTCAAAGGTGGGGGTATTAAGATGGCGAGGAAAGACAGACCAATAGTTGATTCTCGTAAAACAGTGTTTGAGTATCAACAGAACATGGCATATCAAGTTGCAGTAAGCCTAAGCACTTCCCACGTATTAAGGCTGGGCAACGCAACCCAGTATGAGGAGCAGGGTCCCAAGAACCAGCAAAAGAGTAGGAGGAAGCCCCTGTTCCGCTGTTAGGAGTCCCTAGAGGACCAAGTTACACAACTATACACTCAGAGAGCCTAGGTCACTCCCATGCAGGCTCCTGGTTGTTGGTTCAGTCTCTGCGACCCACTATGACCTCAGGTTTGTGAGTTTTCTTGTGATGTCCTTAACTCCTCTGGCCCCTACCACCTTTTCTCCCCCTCTTCTGCAGGACTCCCTGAACTCCATCTAATGTTTGGCCGTGGGTCTGCACCTGTTTCCATCAGTTGCTGGATGAAGCCTCTCTGATGACAATTGGGCTAGGCACCAATCTGGTCACAGGAGACTGCCAGTTCAGGCTACATACCTGCTATTGTTAGGAGTCTAAGGGGAGGGGTTTTTTCTTGTAGATTCCTGGGAGATTCCCCTGAGCCAGGTTTTCACCTGACCCCAAAATGCACCCCTTTGCAGTCGTCTCTCTCTCCCCACCCAGCCTGGTCACTCCTGTGCCCACCCCCACCTGCCCTCAGTCCACTCGCGAAATCTCTGTTTCCCCTTCCCAGGGAGATCTGGGCGTGCCTCCACGAGCTCTCCTTATTACTTACTCTCTCTGGGGCTGTGGATTGTCGCACGGTTATCCTTTACTTTACAGCTAATATCCCCTTTGAGTGAGTACATACCATGTTTGTGTTTCTCGGTCTATCCTAAACAGAAACATGCCATGATTTGTTAACACTCATGGTAGACCTGCCCTTTCCTAAACAGAAACAGAGGAGGAGTGGATTTTGAGGGGTAGGGGAAGGGACTGGGAGGAGAGGAGGGAGGGAAAACTGCAGCCAAGATGTAAAATGAGTAAATAATTTTATTTTTAAAAAATTGAAAAAAAATCCCAACACCTAATGTTAATAAGAATTTTCAAACCAAAAAAATAAAAGAAGGATAAAAAACAGCGTTTGAAGGAGGAAAAGAAGAAAGAAAAATAAAGCATAGAAAACATCTCCACTAGGAGAGTGCAGAACTAGGAGCCCAAGAAGGGGTAAGAAGTGCAGGGATGAGGTGGAAGCATAGAGGTTGTGCACAGGCATATATCCACGGTAGGTTTTGTGGAGAGCCGCTAAGTAGGTTTGGCAATCATATTGGAAACTGAACTGATGAGTCCCTGGACAAGCTGAACCTCCTTTGAGGTCAAAGGTTCTGCTTTTATTACTTAAAAAAAAAAAAAATTACCTCCTGGATGTTTAATAGCCTGGAGTTTGCAAGCTAATTATTGTAATTATTCTGAAAGGATTTATTGCCTGTTTCCATTTTTTCATCATTAATATTTGTTTGTTTGTTTTGTAGAGAGACTCACTTCCCATTTTATTTTACAAAGAGTTCATCACAGGAGACCTGCAGCTTAAGGACTATCCGCTCCAGGACTGCTCCACAGGATCCTGAGCACCTGGGGTTAAGATTATTAAGCGCAGGGCAGCCCTCTCCTCCCTGGAATCCCTGCTAATTTGTACTTAAAGATCTCAGCTCGAGCAGAGTTAATATTTACAGTGAGGTAATACATTATTTACATGGACTCTGGACACCCAAACATCTATAAATTCCCATGTAGTTAACCTCCTTTGGCTCCCGCCTTCCCATCCTCATTAAGTCAATTCAAGACCTGTTCTATGATGGGTTGTAAAGGTCTTTCAGTGATTTCACCCACAGTCCCTTTAAGAGGAAGTGGAAGATAAGGTTGCTAAGTTTCCCTTTGAACATGAGGCTTTCTTGTAGCCTTTTAGAGCAAGGGGTTCTGGCTAAGGTGATTAAGTGGGTAAATGACAAAAATGGGAGGAAAAAAAAAATTATTGGCATTCTGTCCTTAGGAGAAATGGACTCCAACAGATGGAATCTTTTCCCAGCCTGACAAAGCTATGCTAGATCTCTGGGATTACATAACTCTGAATATGAACAAAGCCAAAATAAGGCAAATTTTGCTGTTTAACAACATGCGAGTTCCATAACATGAACAGACAGGTTGCATGTTGCACCAAGAATTCTTCTTTAGGGGGGAGGGGTCGACACAGGGTTTCTCTGTGTAGCCCTGGCTGTCCTAGAACTAGATCTGTAGACCAGGCTGGCCTGGAACTCAGATCCACCTGCCTCGGCCTCCCCAGTGCTGGGATCAAAGGTGTGCACAATTGTACCTAGCTTTGCACAAGAATTCTTTTTGTTTTCCCTGTTTTTCTTGGCTTCAACATGTTCTTTTATTTTTCTCAGTGCCAAGTATCGAACCTGGGGTGTCATGAATGTTAGGTAAGCACTGTGTTGCTGAGCTATATCACCAGACCCTTCTGGTGGTGGTGGTGGCATACGCCTTTAATCCCAGGCAGATCTCTGCAAGTTTGAGGCCAGTCTGGTCTACAGAGCGAGTCCCAGGACAACTAGGCTACCACTAGGCTACAGAAACCCTGTCTCAAAAAAACAAAAAACAAAAAACATTAAAAACTACTGTTCCTGCTTTGAAGGCTTCAAGTCATGACAAGGGTTCCTGTTGTAATACAGGGACTGTGTGTATGAGGGATTACACATTTTTTTTTCTTCAGATTTTGTTGCTGCTATGTAATGGCTTTTCACTATGTAGACCAGGCTATCCTCAATTGATGTGGGAGTGAGTTCTTATTAATAAAGAAACTGCCTAGACCCATTTGATAGGCCAACCCTTAGGTAGGCGGAGTAAACAGAACAGAATGCTGGGAGAAAGAAGCTGAGTCAAGGAGTAGCCATGATTCTCCCACTCCAGACAGACGCAGGTTAAGATCATTCCTGGTAAGCCAGCTTGTGGGCTACACAGATTAATAGAAATGGGTTAGATCGATATGTAAGAGCTAGCCAATAAGAAACTGAAACTAATGGGTCAGGCAGTGTTTAAAAGAATACAGTTTCCGTGTAATTATTTCGGGTAAAGCTAGCCGTGTGGGTGGCCGGGTGCCGGGGACGCAGCCCACCGCTCCTATTTCAACACTCAATCTCAAGGGAGATCCACCTGCTTCCTAAGTGTGGGATTGAAAGCATTTGGCACCATACCTGGCCTTTAATCTGTGTTTTATAAAGTCACCCAGCTCGTGTTTTGTCATAGGGGTTAAAGCCAGACTAATACAGGCATTATTTTCTTTT